CTGGGGTTGCTTAAAGACGGCCCTTGGTAGTGCTCAAAAAGTTTCAGCACTCAAGCTGTTCTGATTGCAGAGTTACGTCAAATTTCACGTGTTCGTACGTGAGTGCTTTCTTCGTTCGCGGTTGGTCAAACACGGTCCTGGGTAGCGCTCAGAAAGTTTTAGCACCCTAGCTGCTCTGGTTGCAGAGTTACGTCAAATTTCACGTGTTCGTACGCGAATGGCAAAGTGGATGCTTTCTTCGCTTGTGGTTATTAAAATACGGCCCTGGGTAATGCTTAGAAAGTTTCAGCACTCCAGCTGCTCTGGTTGCAGAGTTGCGTCAAATTTCAGGTGTTCGTAAGCGAATGGTAAAGTGAATACTTTCTTTGCTTGGGGCTACTCAAACACGGCCCTGGGTAGCACTCAGAAAGTTTCAGCACTCCAGCTGTTCTGGTTGCGGAGTTACGACAAATTTCACGTGTACACACGTGTTCGTACGTGAGATGCAGAAGAGCGGACAAGTACTTTACTTTCACGGACACAACGGTGGGCAACAAGTAACGCTGCAAAATTGCAGCTCTCTGCAGCTTATCGATCACCTTAAATTTGGAGTTGGCACGATGCCAGTTTAAACTTTGACGTGTGCGTGCGTGAGTCCTGAGGGTGCGTGAAGAATGAATTTGAAATCTTTGGATTAGACGCGGCCGAGGAACAATTCTGTGAAGTTCCAGCCTCCTAGCATGGGCCGTTCCCGAAAACGCTTCCCCGCCAAAAAAACTTTCACGTGCTCCTGCGTGAGAAACACGCAGACCTGAGCATCCATTTTGAGGATATGAGCCCACACGTACGTGTAGGTTAAGTCACCAAATTTTCAGCATTGTAGCTTTTGTGGATTTCGAGATGAAAACTCGTTACTGACGCACACACAGACACACACACATATATATACACGCAGACACACACACAGGCAACCCCTCGACAATATGCGTTTTTGCATTGCACAGCTGCAAAAAACGCATAAAAACGCGTGATCGCACCGGCAAGCCTGGTACGCTGCCAATTCGGATGATTTATGCAGGTGCGTATAAGAGCGGCTTCAGTAAGCGAGGTTTCCTTGAATTTCAGGCCATTTGTTGTTAACTGCTGACACAGCAGCATCTGAAGTGAATCTGTCTATCATACGTATAAGAAATCATATTTATTAAATACTTTAAAAATAATAGTCAATAATCATTTGACTTTCAACTGACTAATTGCTGAGTTCTCACTCGCAGAGTCTTGCCGTTTCGTCCTTTTACCGCTAAAGCGAGCGCAGCTATTAAAGAAATTGAATTATGTGAGTTTTTGGTAGCAAAATCTGTGAATATTTGCTTTAATCGTCCGAAACAAAAAGGATTATCTATGAAATAGGTTAGCTGTCCTGCAGTTTGATCATTCTGTTCTATGACTCAAAACAATGGCGGCAGCCTAGAACTGTAGTTATTCTAGGCATCACTCAAAAGTTATACACAAAATATCGCAATAAACCGTTTCATAAAATAAATACAAATAGTGCTGTTCGTGCGAAATGTGCCCGCAAGTGAATCACCACTAAATGAAATACGTCCTTCATTCTATTCTCGTTTTTTTCAATTTTGCATTGCCTGTCCTTTGCATGACGCAGTGGCAAACTGTATGCTCTAGTACTGATGGTTGAAGGTTCAATTCCGCAACTGAGATAACAAAACCTCTTGCAATTTGCCTATTCTAAGTTGGTACTAGCGTATGTCAGGGAGCTCAATCCACCTGCATTTCGCTTGTAAGAAACAACTGAGAAGAGTTAAGTACCAAAAACCCTACCGTCGAGTAGCTGCTACTTGAATTCCTCTGAGTGCCTCTGTCTGTCGCAGAAAGTAAGTGCGGAGGAAGTTTTAATTTCTGAGGAGGGTGGTGGAATGGTGCCGTTTTATTGGGGGCATGTTTCACCCCTTCGGCTCATTGGGTGACTGTTTTACCAAGTGGTCATGTGACTCGAAATGCCTAGCTCTGAAGTCCTAAGACACCTTGGTCAACCGAAAGTACATGTGCTTTATAGAAATGCGATCGTTCTGTTTGTAGAGCATTTATTCAGCAAGCTT